GAAACAGTAGAGTTCATTAACAACAAAACATTCACAGACAGCTCCAAAATAGACGGAAAAGTTGGACGTGCAGTCTACATTCCTGTAACAAAGAATCTCAAGAATTGTATAAAATGGCAAGGATACCTAGAAACAAAACCAGCGGCAGAACCTTCGACAATAAAAGAAACACTGAAACTAGAAAATGACCACAAAATCCACCATATCATAATTAAATCAGACATTAAGTGGCAATATTATCACTTCGCAAACCAGTCAACAGCTCTAAAATTGTTCTCGGAATTAATCAGAACTCAAAAAACACGCAAAATACAAAAATTACACTCATATCGATGAAAGGCTACAGTGGGGACTCGGGTAACGACGCTGCAGATGTGTTCGCAAAGGAGGTAGCACAAAAGATAATAGAATTCCTTGATGTGCCGTTTCCAAGACCCTCCTTAGGAATATACTAAATATGCACACACAAAAGATCTGGCAACAAGTGGGATGATGTGACAACGGGTCATCGCATGCACGAATTCTTTCCGTAAGTGGAAACAAAGTACACAAGGTTTCCTAACGGCATATTTGTCGGGCCATGGCCCATTCGCGGATTACTTCTGCAAGAGGACCCTGACAAATATCGACACATACCCATGTGGAGAATTGGGTGACGTGGATCATTACATTTTTAAATGTCCACTCAAAAAAGGAACTCCACTTGAAATTTTTTTTCAGTTATGAGAGTCACTAGAAATAAGAAATTTCTATCCAAATTCCATTGCATTTTCTTTCATTTTCATTCAAATATCACACATTATAAGCTGAAATTTAGATATAGATTCTATGGTTTTTAGGTTACAAAAGACGCAGTCTGTAAGCGTTCTTTATAATTAATGCATATTTAAATACAATTTCAAGCATCTCTATAGACAAAAATGTAATCGATTTACACATATTTGTTATGTGCAACTTATTTAACTACAGCTTACACCTTCGTATGTATGGTAAGTCTTAAAACATTGACATACCATTTAGACGTCTAAATGAGTGTGCTGGATCGTTACCTGTGCGATCAATGGTGAAGTCTCTGGTGCCCCACTTACTTCTGCTATCTACTTAAAGTAAAATAGTTGAATTTCAGAAATGATTTTTTATTTAAACTTATGAATGTTCGTACGCAAAACATTTTGGAAGAAATTTTAGAAAAAAGAAGATAAATTTAAAAAAAAGGCGCACAAATACTTCCCCCCCATACCAGTCAATCGTTCTTTTTCGACAGTCAACCTGACCGTTACAGGGGTTAGCGATGCTAGCTGTCGTATTGTTGGGCCTGGGTTCGAATGCCAGAGAAGGCATGGGTATTTGTGTGTGCGCAGAAGGGCAGTACTTAAAATACAGGCGAGCCGAAAGTCCTCTTGACAGACTCGATGGTAGGAGAAGAGGGGTGACAGACTAGGACCTTTCGCTGGGCTACTCTCGAGCAAAACTGGAGCTGAGCTGTACAGCTAGTAGGATGGGATTATACCTAAACTACCACTGGTGAAAATTCTGGTCACAGTTATCAGTAGGCTAGTGGGAAGATTTTAGTAACAGAGGTGCGAAGTAACAGAGGTGCTTCTAATTGCTATTCCTCAGCAATTAGAAGCACCTCTGTTACTTCGCAGTAAATTCGAAAGTAACTATTTACTCGATGGATGTAGGTCGCGACAGACAAGGCAGTCCGGTGTTTGCACCACTCGAAGAAGCAGGTGTCGGACGGTTAGCTAATGGAAAGGCATATGCTGTAGCGTCATTAGAATTTTTTTTGGAAGCAAGAGACGTGAAAAATGTTCATCGCCAGGACTCGAACCCTAGACCTCTCCAATAGGCGTCGAGTATGCTTCCAATTACATCACGAAGCCATGCGAAAGGAAGGGAGAAAATACCTTACAATACATTTGGTTGTTTGGTTTAATTTATATGGTTATGGCAAAACACTGGGACACTACTTTGCCTAAGGGGAGAGATGCCTTCATGGAGGACTTTCTAAAGGAAACTGGTTGGAAAACGTGGGGAAACGACGAAAACACCCATGCAGCCAGCTCGTTAGCCGGGATTTGAACCCCGGACCGAATAATCAGTGTTCAGTGACTCTGGAACGCCATAGAGTTTTTCATGAAAGCATACCTCTATAGAGGGAAATAGACCTCAATTGTTTTGCCATAATTAAATAATCCAAAGCCTTTCCGTTTTAAAAATCTCATATTCTCCAAAATTAAAAAGAGTCACCAAATTTTAAGTTTTAAAAGGATTTTATAAATAATGTTTAGTGCATTCAGTACACAGTTAAAAGATTTAATGTATAGGATTGTACTAGCTTGTAACATTTTATTTCAAAGCAATTAAATACATAAAAACTGACTTGCTTACTCATGAAAACTGATTTGTAAGCTGCTTGCTTCTTGTGAGTGCAGACGCGTATTATGCATCAGTAGTAATACAATACACATTTTTTTTATATTTTCAGGCTTATAATATTATTACGTACATTGTTTTTCTGCATACTATTACTGTTCTCAGAACCACCCCAACAACTTCTCCGTAAACAGTATTGAAACGGAATGATGCTAATTTCAATAGTAAAGAATAAAAAAGTAGAATACTAGTAGCGATTTCTCACAGTAAGTGAAAGTTATCATCATTTGTTTATTTAAATATATAGGATTCTTGAAATACACTATCTAATAAGGGATAATAAATCTTAAGCATTATTTCAGACAAAATTTGTTCCTTTCTTTGGGAAACCACGACAGTCTTTCCCTCAAAAGAGCTGATTCAGTGCTCGGTGTTTACCACAACAGAAGAAATCCCTAAAAATTAAAGAAAGAAATGGTTTATAGAGCTACAAAAGCATACAAGTGAGAACAACCTATACGATGATAAAATAATCAGCTGAGCCCAGTACTTTTTCAAATAAACCCAGCACTCTTTTCAGCAGTCAGATACGCCCAGCACTCTTTTATTGTAATAATGACTATTAGCACAAATATGCATGCGCAATTCCAACCGATGTTTTATTGGTTGAACAAAGCTTTCATGAAAAGTAGAGATTTTACTTTTCTATCATGTCTTAAAACTGTATATAACATTAGGCAATTCAGATAACACACAGTCTTATTTTTCGTCAGCCGCAATGCAGCATGCAGGATTTTAACAAGATCTTAATGTCTATAACATAGCAAATAAACTTTTATTATGTATGTTATATAAACGTCACATTATAAATAGCATTCGGTATAGCCTGCCACTCGGTACGTATAGGAATAATTAACCTTTACATACAGAGGCAGTACTGTGTAACCGTTTTGAAATGGTAATTAGTTTGTTTCTTTCGCAATTCAAAATTTTAAAAAGATCCAGATTAGCAGAAATAAAGATATTTCTGTTTACAAGCTAAACCCATGATGCATTTAATTGTCTTTTGAAGAAATTTATTTATTTATGTAGTGTTATTGGCAACAGGATCTGGTATGGATTCAAAATATTTAATATTAATAAAATGGTTCCTTTACATATCATAAGCTTTTCATACTGTGTGACAAAACTCAAGCAAATTACATTGTTAAATGAGTGTAATGTTATCATTTTTGCAGAAAACAAAGGTGTTTTAATATATTAAAATACATTGCATTATATTTAGTTATAATTAGTTTAATTCTATTACATTATATTTAATTAAATAGTAAAATAATGCATATATGTGTGAGGTAACTATGAACAAAAATGCATAGTGCTTAAACAATGAACTGCCTAAAAATGAAAAAATCAAAAGAGGCATCAAATATCACTTTGATAAGCACCATTGCAAAAGTATTTCTACTATATGATTCACATCGAATGTTTGAGAAATTACCACATATTGTATGTTTCAGATTTTGTTTAGCTTACAATACTGAAAATCGCATCTCCCACAAATACTAATGATAATTCAAACAAACTTCAAATAAACAGATTTAAATATCCTGTTCTGAATTCAAAGTCTCTTAACAGGATTGATTGGAATGAAAAACTTTATAAAATGAACAGAATAATCACTATCTGAAATAAAATCTGAAAAAAACTGCTTCGAGAATACTAGTTTTTAATGTATAGCATTTTTTTTAGCTAGATAATAGAGATGGAGATGCGATAATGTCAAGAATTCATGTGCTCTATTACATGTCGCTCTCCATGAATTAATAATTCTAAAATAACATTATTAGTTAAGCATCTTCCCTGAAAGCTGGATTTCGTTTGAATTTAGTAAAATGCCTTCAAATGTAGTAAAATACTGAAGTGCATTGAAAGATTCCGCAGCTATCTTTTTACAAACATCTTTAGATTCTTACATATCGAAATACCACACTTTTCATACTCAGCATGTAGAAACTGTGATGACCTTTCAACATCCAGGACATACTTTATTGCCTTACATAATGACGTAAAAGTTAAGTAATATTAAACCATTTTACGCTCTTAAGGCAGAAATGCATAATTTAGAGCTAACCAGAAGATAGAAAGACTAAGGTATGCTAACTGAACAGTTTACCAAGAAAACTGGATATCATTAAAGATGAGTAAATCATAATAACATAAAAACAGAAAATAAAATTTTCCTCACATTTATGATTTTCAGTTTATAGAAATTTTAAACAGCTGCAATGAAGAGAAAAAAAATTAAGCGCGATTTTTTTGAAAAATATTTTTTTCATATATCTGCTTAGCTTTTATGACTCGCTCACGTAAACATTCATATTTTCAATAAAATGGAAAAGTATTTTATAATAATTTTGACTCGTACATTGGAAAGGGAAACACATAATTACATTCTTCTACCTGAATGTAAGAGTTTTTAACATAAGACAAAATTAATTTTATGTACATTATTTTATTTTAGGAGGTAGACTCAAAATAAAATAAAATGCACACTTGCACCTTTTAAATCACTTAAACACTTGGCATAAGTTTATACTGAAAGTGAAAATTAAAAATATATATTATATATATATATATTTATTTATTTTACAGAAAATTAGATATTCCTATACATTTTACACAGCTTCAACATCAAATTGAAATTAGAAAACTTGAAATTACTATGTATTCAACAACTATCAACGAATCACTGGCATATTCACAGAATACTGTTTCACTTAATAACAATAATTATAAAATATTTTAGTAATTTATTCTTTTATATAGAACGAATTTAATAGAATATAACAGGGTTTTTAAAAATTATTGCACTTCAGTCGTATATATTATTTTAAGATGCAGAACTATCCTTAAGTAATGCATTTAAGTCATTAACGGCTTGCAGTTTAAATATATTTATAATATTCTACTACACAGTTTTCATGAACTGTTAGTGTGCGTTTTTTTTTTTTTTTTTTTTTTTTTTTTTTTTGAAAATATTCAGACACAACAGATTTCAAATAAAGTAATCAGTAATGAGAATAATAAATACTTTATACAAATTAAAATATGCAGCTGGCAACATTGGAATTATCAATAATATTTTCTCTACAATCGAATCATTTTTAAAAGGACAAATATCTTATAATATATTCATATTCATTATATTCAGATATAATGTCAGATACATTGTGCCTTTTGCAATTACCCCTTTCTCTAAATTATACATCAGATCTAACGAACACCAAGTCCTTTCTGATAGAAATATGGTGCCCTTTCAGAAATGACTGTTCCAATAAATACAGCACTTATGAGTAATTGGCTTTCTAGTTTCATTCAAGCTGGACTGCTTAAAGAAAGAACAGCTATAGTTTAAAATAATTCTTACATCATGCAACTATCTGTCTGCACCAAGGAAAATACAAATTGCTTTAAAGATATATTATCAGCTGCTGGTAACAATATTGAGAGATTGGTATGCTATATAGAATTTTAATTGACCATAAAACTATTTTTATTTATTCTTGTATTCATTTCCATTTGTGACAGCAAAATCCAGCTAATGCGATAACTACTAATGTTCTTTGTACACTAAATTATCTATTTATTTCAAATACCTCTTTAGAGACCTTTCCATGTTCAGTCTATGTCCCATCTGTTTAACCCCTAATCCCATTAAATCATTACTGTCCATATTTGCTAACTTAGCCCCTGTAATACCAGCTTCTGAAAAACGCTGTTTGTATTCAGGAAGAAACAAACTATCCAACCAGTCTGCAATGTCATTAGCAGTCCATTCTTGTAACAATTTGAACCGGAATTCTTTTTGCACAGATTTCAAGCGAGACAGTTCACCGCTAGAACTTTCGTGTAGAAATGCATGCTCTGAAATGTTTTTCGAAGGTAAATGCCTGAGGCCACTTGTGCATGGTGAATGTACATTTATGGTTCCACTACTACTTCCTAAATTACATTTTTTATCAGCTCTCATCATCTGTACAATTTTTGGTGATTTGTTTCCCAAAGATGCCAAAAACGTTAGGTCAACTGAGTTTGACGATGAATCATGATGACAAGTTAACGGGTAGTTTTTTCTTTGATAATGATTTGATGGCATGCGTTGAGAAACTCGATTTCTTGAGTGGGGTGAATTATCAGAAAATTCAGGTGGTGGAGCTATGGCAATTTCAGATGCTGAATAAGAAGCCTCCCTTTTAGAAACTGCATTTTCTGAAGAAGCGGCAAATTCAGGTGGAGGAGGAACTAGTTCAGTAAACACATCCACTTCATTTACTGCTGCTAAGCCAAGGGAATTCACTTGTAACCTAAGAACTTCTAAACTTTCATCTAAGCTGCTCTCACTTGAGCTTTGGGCTTTCTTTGTGTCCGTAATATTTTTCACTACTTTGTCTGAAGAACAGAGTGGTACATTTCTTTCTTCCCGTTTTTGAGCACTTTTGATCACATTAATGCAAGATTCATTAAGTAAAGTTTTATTATCCTGAGAAACATTTGATTTGGCTTCCATGTGAATCTTCTGTGTACCAAGCAAGTCGTTAGGCATTGATTCAACATTACTCTTTAAATTCTTCTTGTTCCAAGCTTCAACTTGAGAGGAAAATTTTGACAGTTCTTCATTATTTAAATCGTGTACTTTTTCAGGACGGTTTGTTCTCTTTGATTTGAGTATCTTGATTCACATATCTTTTATCTGTTTCAGAAGACAACTGCACAGTTGCTTCAGCTTTATTCTCATCCCCTACTGAACTGGACAAAATAATTTGGTCAGTTTGAATATCTGTAACTGATGCTATTTCAACAGAACTATGTTCCATATTATTATTTTTAGAAGAATTTTGCTTTTCCACTTCTTTTCTTGAGGTCACATTACTTTTACTTTCAGAAGGGCACTTTTGAGATCCTGTTAATGTAATTTTTAATCCATCAGCTGAGCTACTCTTTGTACTTTTTTCAGTATCTGCAGTTTCAGTTACAGTAGACACACAGACATCTACATCTTTATTATCCTTTTGATCATGTTCTGGAACTGCAGAAACACTTTCTGCCACGGAGCCCATAGTTTGATTCATACCACTAAGAATCTGTTGTCTGTATTTTGCATATTCAGAAGCAGGAGCATCTCGGCTGGGATAGCGAGGGATAACACATTTTTCGTTTTCAAATGACTTTAGAATAGAAGATGATAAATAGCATGAATCCTGCGGTTCGTTTGTGGTTGATATGACTACAGTACCTGTTAACCTTCCTTCCTCAGTTCTATGTAGCTGTATTTCACTTTTTTCTACTTTATGTTCGGTTATTTTACCACTTATAAAAACAACCGTGGCATTTTTATCAATTGGTTTCTGCGAAAACCTAAGCCTTTCTCTAGCTTCTTGTATCGCTCTTTTGGCTTCTGTATGAGGAGTAAGAGGTAAATTTGTTTCAGACTGCACTTGTTCTTTGTCACAAGAGCTAGACTGACAAGGAAGTTTTTCTTCTTGGCCTGAAATGTCACCTTTTCCAAATGTAGAAAGGCTAGCACCTTTATCTACTGATGTTGGAATAAAATCATCCTCACTGCTCTCATAATCAGGCTCAGGAATAAAGGGTTCATGACTTGGAGTTCTGACAGTAGGATAATTTTGAGGACTACCAGCGTCTGAGTCTTCAAAATCAAACTTTGAAGCATAGGCACTAGTTACAGCAGACTTTCCTTTTAAAGACCAAAATGCTCCCCTGTCTGAAACATGACCACTATCAGTTGACATAGAATCTCTCTGTCGGCTGGTTTTCTTAAATGTGGAATACAAACCACCGGAATCACCACTATTTTCTGCTTCCGAAGAAGTGGTACTTCCTCGGTCAGACTTACTTCCAGGTATTTTGGGAGGAAGAGACTGAGACCTAAGACTAGATCCCCCTCCAGCACGTCTAGGCTGTAAAGTGTCTTTAGGTGTACTCACAGTATCTGATTTATAACCTACACTCATTACCACTTCAGGGGATGCATATAATTTGGCACTGTCTCCTGGACGGAAACTTGACATCACATTAGAGTTTCTTTCATCATCCATGATATTTACATTAGCATAATCACCCAAGGACTTAGAAACATCAACTTTGACTACTTGTCCAACAGGTGGTGGAGGAGGTGGATGAGAAGGAGGTGGACAACTGGCTCTCAGTACTTTTTCTTTCTTAGTTAGTGGTAAAGTTTGCGCATATATATCAGAGTTTGTATCTCCTACTTCAACAGGGACTGTGCTATCATAAACATCTTCAATGGATTTCCATGCCTCGTTGTAGTTCAAGCTGTAATCTTCATTTTCGCATAAACCGAGATAACTATTATAACCATTTGATGTACAAGCCCATGAATGCCTGCTTCTCTGAATATTATGTACATCTTCTTGACTATGACTTCTTTTCCGAAAATTTTGATTATTTGTTGCAGTAGGAATTTCTTTTAGATCAGGTGTACTAAAAAAGTCTTTGTGAACTTTCATTGTTGTTTCCGTCAGCTTTGATCTAGATGCTTTTGACCGTTTCATTTCAGCTACACTTCCATAGACTTTAGGTGGACGGCTTCCTAATCTTGGTCTGTTATTTAGAGTGTAGCTACGCATATGCCTTTTTGAGCCCTGGCGAGCAAAAAATTGTTCTAACTCTGCAGCAGATACTCTCTGTGAGCTAGGTCTAGCTTTAATTGACGCAGTTTTCGTCAAGTGACAATCAGACATTTTCAACCCTGTTTTGTTGGGAATACTTTCTACAGAGCTACTTTTTGTTGATCTGCCTTCAGAATCATATTCGCACAATGTCCTGTCGAGTGTTTCTGCAAATATAAAGAATAGTTATGATTAGATAGTTACCATTAAAAAAATATAACTGCATGTGCTACTTTGCAAACATTTATTAAAAATTTAATAAAAACAACTTCTACATTTTATTGTCAAAATAACTCAAACGCTTATTGTGTTACAAACTGTAGCTGCATAATAGAATTTGATTTTAAAATTTTACATAAAAAATCAGAATGCTAGGGGAAAAAAGAATTTTTAACCCATAAGCTAAAATAGGCAACAGAAGAGTCATAAGTAGACAATGTATAGACTGCAACACAGATATAGCAATTAAGAACCAAAGACAGACAGCAGTTAGTCATAGCAAGAGTAAATATAAATTATTATCAAGAAGTGGCTATTAAATACATTTTTCAAATTGAAAATTGAAGTTTTGTAAAAGAAATGCTGCTTACTATGCAACTACATAAATAAATGATGCTTGTTTTAATCATATTTAATTTAAATTTAATTATATTTCTTATTCTATAGAACAACACACATATAGCAATTAAGAACCAAAGACAGACAGTAGTGAGTCATAGCAAGAGTAAATATAAATTACTATCAAGAAGTGGCTATTAAATACATTTTTCAAATTGAAAATGGAAGTTTTGTAAAAGAAATGCTGCTTATTATGCAACTACACAAATAAATGATGCTTGTTTTAAGCATATTTAATTTAAATTTAATTATATTTTTTATTCTATCAGGTTGTGAAATTTTGAAATTTTCATCTCTTCCATTTCAGTAATTTGTTCATTTCTTTAACACTAATTATTTAAAGTGTAAATTGACTGAAGCATTGGATTTCAAGTTTTACATCTAAAACGCACAATTAGAATATATTGAAAATGAACTGATAATCTTGCATTATTTATGCCACTCATTTGTACTCAGAATAATAGGAATAGCAATTAATTTGAAGCCATTAATAGTTTTGATAACGCACTGTTATTTTTATTGTCAAAGACAAGGATTAGATAGGTAGTAAAGGCTTTAAAACCCATTCTGGAATTCACTGAACACACTTATTAAAAGACGATCTAATTTTACTAAGATTTTTCTTGTGCATTCTTATCTTAAAACAGTACACGATGCGTATTACTCTGCACAGGAAATTATGGAATTATGAAAGAAGTTTCCAAAGTTCTAGGAATTGAGATATAGTTCAATTAGGCAATGCTCTAGGCCAGAGACATATCTTGACATGTTTATGCAGCTATACCGTGCAATACTATATTTAGACCTATTTAGTTTTTTACTGATACCGCCACAATTTTTGTAGCACTGCTTTTTGCAACCTTGGAGGATGCAAAGGGCAATAAGTTTCTTTTTGTAGAAAGAGTGTACAAAAACTTCAGAAATTTTTCAATGTCTACAAGGAGTATTCTGTTCTTACACGTGGCTTTAGAATGGCTCTAAACAGTTCGTTTTTTGTTCGAATAAGCGCAGTCTGGATCCAGCTTTAGTTCAACATTAAAAAAAATTACATCTAAATTCCTAGAACTTTAGAAACATCCTTCGTACATAATCATAATTGTTTAAATTGTATTAGGCCAATAAACTCATTTGTATGTATGGAATGTATTAAAAGCAATATTATGTAAAAATAAGTTTAATATAAACATAATATTTGTTATTAATGAATTTTTTTATTATTAGCTAGTAATTGTATCAGGTGATCAAAATTTACACATTAACAATTCAAAAAATGTGGGAATTCCAAAATAGCTATTAATTACAAAGTTCGTCAATATGTGAATTTCAATTAGCTTAAAAGACCGATTGTTTGGTGCAAGACAGAGAACAGTTTCTCCAAGCATAACGAATTTCTATGCTTCAGTATTACTTCAAAACGCATAAATTTGACTGCAAAGCTGTCTTCTGTTCACCTCTTTGTGGTGACTGCAACATTTTATTCCTGGAGTTGTCCAATTAATGCGAACGTAGAAGAGACGGACCGCTCCACCATTTCTCCAGATGAACGCTTCCACTTTCTCAAAATTAGGTTACCAAGAAGAAAATCGTTATTTTGTCAGGTTCACGAACATTTGGAAAGGTCTCTAAATCTTAAAAGCTTTTCACTAAAAATATGTTGCGAGTAATGTCCAATCATAAAAATTCGCTCTACTTCATCAACTCATCTTCATTTAGCACCAAACAAAAGGTTTTTAATTCTTTCACAGCGAAGTCGCCTGAACCGCCCATCAGTTCTGATATCGGCAGGTCAACCGAACATTCTGCGTACCTTAGTGTTTTCCTCCATTACGTTAGTGCATTCCTCATTAGTTTCGGGAGTTGTTAAACGACATACCATTATACTCTTTTGAAGAGACGAAAAGAAGCTTTCTTATTTTTGGACTTAACTACTCTCTTCTTTGTTTAGTGTCAAGGTTTAGTTACTAATGCTCGCAGATGCAATCCTGTCTTAAGAAGAAACTGTACACAGTGGATGAAACCGCATAAAGATACCCAAGAGAGAAGTAATCGCTTAAGTACAACGCTGCAACATTCTACTTAGCAGAGGGGAAGGAAATCCTCTCTAACAAATATTTCGTATATATGGGCGTTTCAGATGTTTGGGAGGAACAGATATTGGCCTCTACCAATTCAATAGAGTTTCTGAAGTCTATGTCTCTTTGGAAAAACACACTACAAACTTCAAAAGTACTATTGAAGAATTATCTTCTGGCCTTCTGAAACACAGCAGAAATCAGAAGAAGGGTGTATAAGGCTTCTGGCTTAACAGAAATACGTAACAAATAATAATTTCAAGGTGTGGTAGAATAGCCTAATGCCTCACAGAATACTTTAATGAGCAGGAAGGGCTTTGGTTTGCAGTAAACCGGCAAGACAAAGCCAAATGGCTAGAAACACTCAACGCCGCTAATAATCACAACACAACGTGGCCTGGAATAGGCAGACACGCTCTAAAACTAACTTCTGAAACTCTTGTTTAAATAGCACTTCTTTCTACCTTAATCTGAATAAACACTCGTTATCTCTTTCACAATCTGGCATGAAAAAAGTGGGTGAAAAGAGAGTAATAGGAAAGTCTTTCAACTTAAAATTAATTATGAGATAAAAATAATTAGACAAACCTCACAAGTTAAAGCTAACAGGAAAAACTGCAACTGAAATTTCAAGTGATATATTACTTGTAATAATATAGGGGGTGTCATCCCTTGCAAAACATTACCATTAATACCATTTTGGAAGTTACACAATTTTTTTAAAAATCTGATATACGCGACGTTTTGGTCCCCCAATAAGAAAGTCCATTAATTAATTATACAATGCCAACATGCCCGGTAGCAATATGTTAGCATGCATTATATTTTAAATATTATTTAAATTTGTTTCTATTTTATTAAATAAACTATTACGTATTAATTTGGGATAATGTTACAGTGTTACGAAAATTATCTACTAAATATTTAACATTATTTTGAAAATATAATGAAAAATAAAATGAAATAGTGCACAACTTATCCCCCCCCCAATCTTCCAAAATTTCATGAGATATTCATACTGCTGGCTTTGGATATTATTACATCCTAGTTTAACTTTTTTTTCTCCTAAATGCAGTGTAACTGTTTTTTTCTTCTTTTGCTAAATTTTAATGTACTTTTAAAGACAACGTTTAAACTGCTCTTTTTGAAAGAAAAGTAACAGAATTGTCAGAATCTTCCTCTGATAAGCGAGTTTTGTACTACAAATGCCATAATTGTAATTTAAACCCTTACATTTCCTAAATTTAATTTTACTCCTAAAAGTGAATTTGATATTAGAATCATTATACAAAGAACTATAAATTGTATTCAGTTGACATACCTATTTCTGCTAATCCTGCTACCATTGATCTTGCTCTAACCCTTCCCACAGATAAGGTCGTCTTTGGGTCTCTCTTTGGTGGAGCTGGAGCTTTAATAGAATAAAAAGTAAGTGAAATTTCCAGAAAAGTAAAACAAGGGTTAAGAAAAGAAAAGATACAAATTTGACTGAAATAATCTATAATTGATAATTATCCAACTGTAATACTGTAGCTCTCCTGCTATATTTCCTAGCACGAGAGCGAAATAGAACTTAACTTTATAATGCACGCAGAGTATGAATAGCATAAATATTGTATGAATAGTTAACTTTACACGTATCTTGAACATAAAAGCATTTATTGTGGTCTGGTATCATTATTATACAGACGCAGCACAACAAATGGAATAATAGAAGGAAATAACCTAAACAAGGGGGAATGCAGATAAAATATGCATCTTACAGGCAAATTCAAAGTCTAACTTTTAAAAAAAGGAGAACCTTTTGAAAAAAACTAATCAAAGAATCTCGTAATCTCAAAAGAACTCAATTTCTTCAAATATAGACAATTTCTTGAACAATATTCACAATATTCTATAGTGTGTTTAGGAAGTTTCATTTAAAAACTATTACCAAATTTTGAAAGCATAAGTTCAGAAACTTACTTCTTAAAGATTTTCCTCCTTTTTTAATGCTGCATGTAGCATTAAACGGAACTATAGAAAATTACACCGGAAAGTAATTTATTAAAACACAGCTTCAGAGAAAGGATTATACAACAATGAAAGCAGCTTGGCCTTGAATAGGTTTAAATGCTGAAAAGAAGCTTATTTCATTTTAAGCAGCATAAGATTTTGCTTATTTATGATGTTGTACATTTCGAAAACTGTTTCTCATTGCAACAAATATTTTACATATCTTAATTCAATTCTAACCAACTCATCAATAGCCGGCTAATTACGAAGCAAAAATACTAGTAATTCAATGTGAGTTTGAATTCCGATGATTAATTACATGGGCTGCATGAAGGTGAATGAATTTCAGGATACATAATATTAATATATGTGAGTTTACAATAGGAAAGTTCTATTGTAAGCTCACATATATTAATATTATGTGTGCAATGTAATGTTTATTACATTGCATACTTACATTGGTTTATTACATTGGCCGCCCGCGTACTTTTAGGCGCTGCACCCCCGCTAGGAACGGCCCTGCTAAACTGCTCTGCTAAAATTAATTAACCACATAAACACCTTTTCCAATTACTAAAAAAAACTGTTCCTAAATCTCAGTTACTTTTTTTTTTTTTTTTTTTTGGCTTTAGCGTTGGTATAAAGAAAGTGTTCAATGCATCAATTTCTTCTATTTAAAAATAAAATATAATTATGAGGGACAAAGATGCCTACAAAAATGAGAATATAAAACTTCCAACTTACTTCACATGGTAGTAAACATGAGATACTACTTAGGAAGGAAAGTTTCACAAAAATTATCGCTGTAATGATTAATTTTCAATTCATCTCATGGACCAGTTTCACAGAAAATGGTTGGGCATTAATAAATACACTCAATTGCCTTTGAATGATAAATCTGGTTCTTTTCTGATCAACGCTTTATTAATAACTTACAGAAATTTGACAATATGCCAGTGAATAACTTTATTGATGCAAATAATACTTGATTTGTTCCTACTGCATGAAACCATGAAATAAAACAACATGTCTTTATTAGTAACAATGAACGCGAGAAATTATTTAAAAATAAGAGGAAAGCAAATACGATATATTTCAGTAGTATTTGCACTATTGTCTGATTAAAATACATAAAGACAAATAAATATTTTCCACTCAAAAATACTTTATAGTCCCTCTTTACTTTTCTATAAAATATTACGTGACTGATATACAAAGTACCGGGAATTCTGTATGATTTTTAAAAGTAATATTACTGAAATATGGCATTGGAAAATAGAAACAGTGAGCTTTGTATATAGAATTACCTTTTTTACAAATGAATTTACGAGGTAATGTAGCACACTGCCGATATGGAAGTGAAGGATTATCAGTGGAAGTTCCAAAAGGAGGATTGCGTGCAGTGATGACAGTCATAGCAACTAAATTTCCGGACTGCTGAATGATAGAAACAACATGTTCATGGGATGCTTGTGAAACATCCTGACCATTAATCTGTTTGCAAATAATAAAAAAATATATATATATATATATATATCAACACATAAGTTATTGAATCCATAGAAAAATTATATATAAAGCTTTTTAAGCATATTTAGAACATTAATAATTTTAAGAATCATGTTTGAAGAATGTAAAATTCAACACACATGATTTTTCAAGTAACTAGTAGTATTAAATGGAATCCACATACATTCGTGTAATCTAATAGTGTTTTTACCTGTCAGAAGAAGCACAGTGTGACAATGCAAATCAGTATTCGTAAAACTCCATACATATTTTTAAATACTATTCCAGTTTCTCTAATAAACATTTAGTTAGACCAAAGATTTAGATGATTAAAAGAATTATGCAGAATGATGTAATATGATATAAAAACGATAAATTAAATTATTTTGTATTATCGAGTTACAATGTTGATTTAATTCCAACCAGTTATTTCTGACTTAAGAAGCAATGAATGCATAAAAGGGAATACTTATATTCTAAAAATTAATAGCAGTTTTTGAAGTCAGCTAAAATTGTTGCATGTTTGTGCCCGTATTAATCACATATAACCGTACATACGCGTGTATAAGCCGCTCACTGTCTCTGAAATGATATATTTGGGAGAAAAAAAAATTCCTCTAAAGTAGAGACATGGATATGCAGAAATACAGCAAGATCGCAAATTCTAAACACAGGGATTTAGTGATGATAAATGCTTATTGCTGAGTGCCTGCTCAGAGCAAGAGCTACACATGGGTGCATTAAGTGTGAATTACATGAAGTTTCAGCATATCAAACGTTTAAGAAAAAATTATTTCACGAAAAGGCAGCAAAATATAATGACCGAGAAGAAAATCTGTTGGGATATATCTATCAAATCAAGGCACATTGATTTTTTATGTTTGGAAGTGATTCAGCTCGAATCTAAAAAAATTCCTGAAAATATGAAAATTCCCAAAAGTGAATTTAAGAAAAATTATGGCTGGGCATGACATTTCATGGCATGTCATGAGCTCCAGATTCATTGTCGAGTTTTAATGGCGCAGAGGTTTCTTTACTAAGGCAAATTGTCTACATTTCAAGAATATGTGTTCAACTTAAGAAAGGTACACGAAAATCAATAGGGAGAAACAAGAACGCCTGACTTCTTTGATATATGAAATGACACCACCATCAATCAAGCTGGGGAGAAAACAGTACTAGGCGAATAACTGAAGCAGAAAATCAGAACAAAGCATTTTTAAGCACAAATCCCTGTCGGAAGAAAGCTACCGACTGAAATATTGGCATAAGTAGAAGTGGGAGGGACACCAGAATTTCACCAGGTATAGTCCTGGCTAAGTGAGCAATTCTGCCGCACTTTTCAGAAAGAACACTCCGGCGAGGTCCGAATCTCCGTTCCTAGAATTTCTCTTTCTTCTTCTTCTACTACCAGCCACTCGACAGTATATTTGGCTTCCGATGTATTTCAAGTGCCCCCTTTCCGGACAGACACAAAAAAACTATGCCTGCTCTTTGGTTGGAGCCTGAGTCCATTGGTTGGCAGTCAGCGTCACTAACCACTGTACCGGTTGGGCGGAACTGAATAATTAGTAATAGTTCAAGGATGGATGACAAATAAATTCTACCCGGTTAATTGAAGTCAGTGCAAATTTTAATTTCATTTTTATTCATTCTAGGTGCACTATTTCTTTGGCGTTCCATGTTGAGTTTTAACAGCTTCACACATCATCTATTAATAGTGATATATAGTGTGAAAATGATTACAAGGGAGGAGAAAAATGGCACATTTTTATGTCGGAAGCGGAGACTGGAATGTTGTAATCGCTTCATGATACTAAGAGTTATACTAACGTCATACAGAAATCTTATCATTTAAGAGAAGGATTTATACTTTAATCAGTTTAAAATATCATCTTGATAGCTACTTCAAGGATGCAGCTCCATATAATTTCAATACATTTTTAACCAACACAGGGCAAATTATAAATATGCTATTTTTCATTTTAATTTGTGTCAACAGTTTAAGATAAAACATAGTGGAAGATAAAAAAAAGGAACTAAAAATATGTGCTAAAAGTCATTTCAGCACATACATGAGGCTCACATTATAGCACAGAGGTATGAGGAAGAAAGATATGATCAGGAAGAAGGTACTAATATACGGCATGCAAAATACATTCCAGTCATATGCAAACATGCTTAAAAATATTTTACGTAATGATCTATTATGTAGTTTCTTTGCATCTTCAGAATAAAGGAAAAAACTTTAGAACAGTTTTACTAAAACAGGGGACGAAATGATAGTTGAGTAATGTACTGTCTTCTTTGGTAATATTTTCTATACAGAAATATGAATTCTGGCTCACGCACGCACTTCAATAATTCTATATTTTATTTAAATTACAAGATTATAATGATTTAAGCTTTATTATAGTTTCTTATTTCCGTATTCCTCATCAGAATGCAAATAGGTTTTTGGATATTTAAGTTTTGAATGTTTAGATCTGAGCTTCTGGCAGCTGCATCTTGTTGTTACTTACTCTCACATGCTCTGCTTAAAGTTTATATTTCGGCCTTAGCGTCTGGCTAGCCGATGTTCTAAAATACCTGCCAGTAAAATTCTGAGCCAACTTAATTAGTCTATTTTATGAGTAGTCTCCGACAACGTTACCAACATTTGAAATTTAACTTTCGTTTATGTTAATTAAAATACCTGCAAGGTAGCAGAAGTTCGTTGTAGCACAAGCTGTGCCTTTCTGTTCAGTTTAAGACTAAATGAAAAAATTATTTTAACCTTCTCAGTATTTATGATTTGCATAAGACTGTGAGCATTAACTCCCTAGCAGTCTAGTAGAGTCTGCAAGACTTACATACAAGTTTCCAGTTACAGTAGGATCCCACAATTTAATTTTAAAAAATGCTTTAAAAAAAAACTCCGAGTTTATATCTCGCTCATATTTAACTTGAGAGGAAAGGCAAAACAAAAATGAGTATAACTAACTTTCATTTGAAATTTTCAGGAAAAAAAACCTATCCTGCCATTTGAAACATCCTTAAGAATTAATAATTGCCTACCCCTTACAGTCTTTAATGGTTCATAAGATTTTTTGATACTTCTAAAATTCCAATAGTGTAGTAATAATATGAATTTAGCTTTGAATTCTACTATATTTGTGTAATTTCAACGTTCACTTTTAAGAGTAGTATTTTAAATTTACTAAATGTAAATAAATTCGTTTAAAAAAATAATTCGCCTTTGGAAAATATCAACAAATGTAAACAAATAAAATCAAATTAGAAAGAAATGTAATCAAATTGCAGTAATTAAAACAAATATAATAAAATAAATGCGCATTTGTAAATAAAACATTATTGCTAATTATGATCCTTAGTTCAATGCTCTTAAACTTACAGATTACACTATCCTACGAATATTACAAAAGAAACCATTAAAAAAAGGGGTGAGTTAGTATTGACCGGGGTTCATACGAAAGCAAATGGGTTGGCTGCAGAGATAATTTTTGTAGTTTCTCTTATGTGCAAAATGAATATAAGCCAGTTTGCTTTAAGAAGCCCACCCCAAAAGCACCTCTTTCTTTAAGCAGGTAGCCCTCCAGTGTTTCCCCATCCAAATAATCATCAAAGAATTACTGTTATTCGAAAAACCAACACTGGATAAAAATAGTGACTGAACAGTCTTCCTTGTAATACTTTTACGGTTTAATAACAATTGATGAACGTTTTTGGCCTTAAAAAATTCAATTTTTCGATAGTTCAATTAAATTTACTGACTACAACATTACTGTAACAGAATCAATGTTGCGATATGAAAATCCCAAGATCATAGTTATTAAATATACTTATTCAAGATTAACAGAAATAGAATAAACTTGCAGCAACTTCAATAGAACTTTGATAAACTAACAATAACAGTGATCGATATTTCACATAAGCAGATAGTTCTACTTCTTATTGCTAATTAAAAATTAATATGCTTAAATACCTACATTAGATGCGAAATTAGAGTAATAAAGTTCCAAAAGTAATAAGATACATTTTACTTTAAAAATGTTGTGGGGTTCCAACCTCTTATTTAAGAGCTACGTATGTAGGAACTTCGTGAACAGATAAGCGAATATTCGTTTTATTTCAGATACACAAACGTAAAACTCAAGAAGGGTTAATTACTCTTTATTTCTCAAAATAAGAACTTACAGCTGGCTCCTTCTCAGAGCATACAGTAAAGCCTCCACTTGGGCTTGAACTCAAAGTAATAAGAAGTAAAACTTAGCTAATGCTTATCTAAAAAGATACAGTCGAAGCTGTCAAAATTTCTAAGCAGTTGGCCTTTAAATAGCAAATAAGCCGGCGAGGGCCTGAAATACACAAGCGCCTGGCCCCAGCCACCACCCCTGTTCTTATTGGTTGCCGTTTATGACGTCAGGCTGAAAAGATTCCATTATCTGTTTCGTTTGAGTTATGTCAAGGGGAACTTATAACTACTTGGGATTTGGTTCTCTCCTGTGTTAATGTGAATTTGTGCAATGTAACAGAATATTTGCAATTAAAAGGAACCTAACAGTATAAGAAAATGTCGGCACTTTTTATATAAATTGTTTAATCATGTTAATGGAATAGATAAAACTTTATAATGCGTAAATAGTGTTTGGCTAAGCAATCCGTATTCAATGCAATTCATAGCGCTATACTGATATTTAAGAAATGTATTTTATAATTTCATATAAAAGGAGACCATTAACAAGATTTGCTTCGTCAGCAAAGTCAAGAAATAGCACTTAACTCTTACTGTGTAAATAATGTCTGCCGCAGTTTTCATGAATTAGCGGTTTATTTTGCAGAAAAGTATTTTTAAAAGTGATATAAATGTAAAATTTAGTTATTTCTTTATAAAAATGAATTGTTTGATAATTAAATTACCTTCCTTTCATTTATTGCTTGTTGTATAGAGATTGTTTGGTATCAAAATTGTTCGTAGTCAGATTAATTTTTTACTTTCTAATCCTAGGCATTAATTTCTCCTCATTTATGGTTAAAAATAAGATAAAGTGATAAGATACTTTTAAATCGTAAAATACTTATAATATCGTTATTTGACTTTGTCAATTGGAGTTATCATTCTGTTTTTTTATGTATTATTGTTTTGTTTCTTAACTTTTATATCTTATAAAAAGTGTTTATTGTCAAATGACTTCGATATTCGTCTAATGACCAAAATACTGCTAAACGGTTATCGACTGCACATCGAATTGCACCTTTTTTTCTAATATTATGTATATTAACAATATATTTCTGAAGCTACTTTTTATTTTTGTAATTTTTTCGCAAATATGGCAAATTATTCCATTGCTTCGCCTGTTTCAGCGCTAAAATGACCTCGAGCTCAAGCTTTTGGCGCACAAAAATGCTGCAAAAATTCTTTTCGTCACTGTATGACATCAGAAGTCGTGTCCAATAAGAGCTTGGGGTGGTGGCTGGGGCCAGGCGCTTGTCTGGAATACGGCTGAGCACAGTAATAGCTTAGAGAAAGTGTAGCCAAAAGGCAAACGTGCGCTAGTCAGAAACTCTGGCTCTATCACGAAGTCAGTGGAACTTCGACTTAAATATCAATCTTACCCATTTGCATTAAACACCACTCTAAAAACACATTCTGGTAGGAAATTGTAAGCTGAAATTAGGAGAGACAGGAAAGTATCTTTAACTACAGATAACTGTCAAAAACTTAGGATAAACCTTACAAGGTTACTATATTTCACAAATCAAAATAGTAGCTGAGCCTTGTACTCAACTGTAAAACCAGTGGCGATTGCACAAAACAAAAGGCTTCGTACATTAGCATCATACAGGAAAAAAAAACAGCTCTTCTACTACTCAACACAATATTATTTGATAAATATTAAAATAGGAAAAACATTCATGAAATTAATACTACTTCATGATCATCTGTGTAATATAAAGTTAATAAAAACTGATTAATTAAATAAGTAAGTAGTTGTTCGTATACCTCTAACAAGTAATCTCCTTTCTTCAAACCAGCCAAGTCTGCAACACCGCCTTTTCCAACATCTTCCAGATACTGACTAGGCCATACGTCATTGGTTTCTCGCTCCATCAATGGACTTGAAGCTGTGGTAAAAAGAATATAATATATGACCTGGAATTTTCTAATAAGCCATTTTAAATACTCTGAAATGTATATCCATACCTTTGGCACCTCGTAATACAAATCCGAAACCTTTCTTTCCTTTGTGCAATATAACAGTACGGGGTTCTCCAAATCTGTTTAATAAAATAAAATAAAAGCTAAGAGAAACTCTATGGGTAACAAAAATTTCTGAAAAAGCTTCACATAAGAAATTAGTTACTTTTTCACACAAATTACGAAATTTTACTTCCGACAAAACTTAATGCTCACATAAATTTAGTTTTCATATTACTAAATTTATAACAAATTTAACAAAATTAAAAATGCAAAAATGAATAATGTCCCATACAAACTAAATTACCCTTGAAAGCCTTATAGGATTTTATTTATTTTTACTAATAGTTGTTTTAATTTGTTAGCCTTTTCTGTCTTCCTTTATTCCCCCCGTGTTTCCTCGCCAGAATGCAAATTAGCTAGGGTGAACGAGTGTATTTAAACAGATGTAGCAAAAAGTTTAGTCAGAGCGTGGTTTCGCTATTGTAAAAGTACGTTACTATTTCGTCCAGCTGTTAATCTTAAATATCGGCTTCGCGTTCTTGCCGCCGAATTATTATCCTGCCGGCGTGGGTTCTGAGTCAAACTGTTAGATTAAACTAAATTGTGTGGTTTTGTGTTACTCCTACGTTTAAATTTAATATTAATCTTCTCAGTTCCCACCACAAGGGGTCAAGGATGCAATTCCGTGCCGTCTGTAAAATATTGTGTTCAACAAAAGGGTTTCAGACATCCTTGCCCTGCTGTGTTCATCTTCAAGTCTTTGCGAGAAGTCACAAAATCAACACTTAAGCAGATCTAGTTACATTTCCACAACATAATGCGCAAAAGCGTGCTTCGGAGTTTCAGATGTCAGATATAAAGAAATTAGTCTATGAGGCCATTAAATCTTCTGACATGGCAAGAAGTAAACAAAAATTGTATTATGATAAAAGGCGGAGGGAAGGAAATTTTAAGGAAGGGGAAAAAGTGTTAAAATTGAAACACAACGTATTCTGTGCTCCCTGTGCAATAGTGCTAAGGTTTCCCTAAATTTGAGGGGCCTTTTATAATAAAGAGCATTCGAAATTCAGTAATTCTTAAAAATGCCAATGGCGAAGAATCAAAAGCGAATATTGATCAGATAAAAAAAAAATTACGATCGTTACACGATGACACTTCTTAAAGATATTTTGCAGAGTTCCAGTGCTGCCGACGATAATAAAGCTCTGAGCCAAGTAACGCCAGCTGCAGCCCAGATACAGCCACTAGATGTGGCTTCTAAGAGGAAAGCCAACGGTACTTCAGCCAAGCAGCATAAGAGGCAAAGCAAGTGCAGGAAATAAGAGGAAAAAGGAGCAAGTCCCAAGGGCTCCAAGGAAAGAACTATTGGAAAGAGAAATGGACTGGAACAGTCTTTCAAGGCCGGTCAGCAAAGAACAAAGTTACCACCAGCGGTCGACGGAAGTAAAGCCGCAACCAGAAGTCCAGGACAACCAGAAGTCCACCAGCGGTCAGCGAGAAAGAATCCATCACAAACGGCGAAAGACACAAGAGGGTTCCACGGCAAGCAGCAGAAGCTGGATGATGGGGAAACAGTCAGCTAAACGGACGGTATTCCACCGCAGTCAACGGATGGCATGTTCCGAAGGGAGCACCAAAAAAGATTACCTCCGGAAACTACTCTCCCTATAAAGGCAAGACGGATACAGAAGGGTGCAGAAAAAAGGAGTTTGAACCCGTGTCTGATTTACAGCGGTCATCTAGACGCGAAAGAGTATCCGCAACAAGAACATTCAAGTATGTTCTTCAACTCAATGCTCAAGTATTCTTAAGAGTTCAAGAGTTCAATGCTCAAGTATATTTCATGTATTCAGTACTTTTATGTCTAAAATATATACAAAGTGCTGTTAAGAGTATCTAATTGTTTTTGTCTCAAGCAAGATTTCATTAGTTGTGCAGGAAGTAGAAAACTTGTCTTCGCTTCAAGAATTACGCCGTTTAGTCGACAGACTGTTTTATGCAATTTGCCGAGATAAAATGATTTGTTCCTAGCAACTTTGTTTAAATTTTGGATGTAAGAAACTGCAAATTCGATATATATATATATATATATATATATATATATACAGTGTTTTCTACTGTGTTTAATGTAAATGTGTCTTTCTGAATGTAGAGAATGTGTAACTTTGTAAAAATTAGATGGAAAAATATTCAGAAATTCAAATTAAAAATTTAGCGAAATGTAAAAGCTAGCGGAAGAAAAATTTAAAAGCTAACTTAGGTATTTCAAATCCAAGTTAGGCTCTCCGGCTGAACACAAAGTTAATGCATGTTGTATAAATACACTACAATGAGTTTGAAAATATGCAGTCTGTTGAAGTTTAGTGTTCCTCAGATTATTAACTTGTAGGCTGTCGGTCAGAGGCAGAAGTTGTGATTTAAACACACCACTTTTCACTTGCATTTGAAGATCTCAGCACATGCATATGCTAGAGAGCTAGGGCTGGAAAAAAGTTAAACTTGTGAAAATGAAAATTCATGATTTGCCTATTCAAATGCATATATTATCTAAAAGTTTCACTAATATTAGTTTCCTTCCACATCCACCGGAAGGACATGAGACTCAAAGAAAAACGCTTCAAATTTAAAGTATTTAAGTAGCATTATATTGTAAGGCTGGCTCTTTAAGTTTAAAATTTAGAATTTAAATTTTTCGAACTAGTCGTTTAAAGACCTTATTTTCAAATATTTAAATTCTGGTGAGAAATATTGTAAGGATTTATTTTATTCTAACCAATTATTTTTAGTTTTCTTTCCTTTCCCTCCTGATTTCAGTTTCCTGCAAGAATGTAAATTTGTTATGATGTAGTATTCATATTTAAACATGCTTCAGAAGCAGTACTTAAGCTACGTTTCAAGAGTTTGAAAAGGGTAGTAGCGGACTTAGTTCTGATGTTTATGCTGCGAGTTCGAAACTAGCTCTCTAGTCGGTGTTCGACACTCCTCAGTTTATACTGATATTTCTCGGCTCGGTTTTGCTGCATGCAGCTGATTTAGCGTTAGTTAACCTAAGAGCCAGTCGTTAGCTATCTTAATTTAATATGTATTTCACATTCTTACTTTACATTCTTATTTAGTTTGTGATGTTGTGTGGCCCCAACTTGCCTGCAACAATAGTAGTGACTGCTATGAACTGGAAAGTACACAAACTCTTAAGAAGGGTTTAACTCCCTTTTTATTCCACTTTAGAAGTTACAGATGCGTTCACTTGACGCTCACAAACTACGCCGACCCGGCCGTTAAATAAAAATAAGAAAGTACAATTAAAGATGAATAATAACAAGTCACTACTTACGAGGCTCTCTAAACGTGACTAACTTAACCGCGTTCTAAGATACAGCTGAGATTTCAGAAAACTTTCTTAATAAGAAGTTGAAAGATTCAACTAACTGCCGAAGTAGGCTCACAGGCCGAAACGCACGGTTCTTAAATTTCTACCTAGCAACCTTCACGCTCGTGAATCAAGAAAGTACACCTACAAACTCGTTTCCCTTCTATTTAACTCAAATTACTTCTGCTAAAAATTTGAATACTTTGCGCGTCTACTAAAATTTACATACTCTGGCACTGGCAATTCCAGGGGAAAGTAAGGCTTGACAGGAAAGATAGCTTAAACTTAAAATAAATGTTAGTTAAAATAAATATAAACCCTACAAGTTAGCCACAAGTACTGGTGACTTGTGAGCACCAAGTGCGTGCATCTGTTTCAATTTAGTTTAACAAAAAAAGTTATTTAAACCTTTCTTCTGCAGTATTTGTTCTTAAAGACATAGCGAGAATAATACATCTTGATATTTAAATTACCGTTGCAGAACAAACATTAGAAAGTTTTACTTATTGTTGTGTCCATTCAACTTTATGTTTTATTATTTATTAGAACCACATCTCAGGTTTTTTTTTCCTAACTCATATGCAAAACAGGTATCTTTCATTCAGCAGAAAGTTAACAGTAACTATCATTGCTTACATAATCACAGTTTGAACCCTAATTTTAGAAAAAATCTAGTTATCCTTGAGATATCCTATAAATTCAATTACAGTTAAAATATCGAATTAGGAATTCACTAATAATTATCAAAACTTACGTTTTCCACCTTCTTGGAATAGTACTGATGCGTTTAGCACACCTCTCCCTCCTACCTTCCACTCTCGGATAATCAGACGCTTGAGAAGGGTCAAAACTTCTTGGAGTCATTTCTTGAACACATGTTGCAGGAAAAAGCCCAACTTGTCCAGTATCTGTTCTGCCCAGCAACAAGCCATCCTCAGCTTCACTGATAACTGTATATAATTTAAGGTAAGTATGAATATGAATAAACTAAACGTTTTAAACTGTATCTTAAAATTAAACTTGACATCAAGGAAAATTACAAGTGCAGAATGTACATAAAAGAACACCTAAAAATTAGCACAAAATGATCACTGACATTTTGACAAAATTATTTCCATCTGATTCAAAATGCAAATTTTTAGATACCTTTATATTCTCTCAATTACTTCCTCTTTTTTAAATATACATTAATTTTAAATGATAACTCCAACAAGAAAAAAGAAAAATTCTTGAAACTTTCAATCTGATAAATCAAGCAGCAAAACAGTTCATCCGCTAATGATAATACCTTTACGAAAATATATAGGTAATTTTGTTTTTGTTTAAAATATGTAGGTAATTTTGTTCGTTTTCAAAATTTAAATAGGTTAACTGATTGAATAAATGCTAAATATACAATAAACATATTACATCGCTTAATCGGATAATCGACTGCGCTGCTTTTACGTATAAGATCAGCAACAGTTCAATAAATGTGTAAATAATACTGAGAAGAATCATTTGGTGAGGGAATGAGTGAGTGATAGAAATGCCTATATAAAAATTATAATAAAAGTACTAAAATATTACATACTTTCAACAATATCACCATTTGACAGTTGTAGATGGCCAGGAACTAAAGAACTGTAATCTGTTACACATAAACATGTGCTACCAGGAAGAAAGGAATCATTAGTACCATGATGCTCTGGACCAGATTCATAGCTTGCAGCACTGTTGCTAGTACACACACCGGATGAATCACTTGTTACACTTTTTTCTACAAGAAAAAAGAATAATGGCTACAATTCGGCATTTATTTAAATCGAAGGAAAATTAAATGATTTTATAGTCTACAATTTGTCCTTTTATAATAAAGTTCATTTGACTATTGACGAACTCTTTCACGAATTCGTCCAAAAATCGATTAATGTGAAAATACAAGCTAAGTTTCAATGCAAGGCTAGTACGTATAATTTTGAATACTGTTATTTTGCCAGCTTAACATGTATTTCGGTAAATTTTAGAAAAGTCTTTTTATTTATTGATAAGTATCTGATCAAACGTAAGCACAATATGAGGAAAAACTTGTTTCATATATATAATTTATTGTTCAGTAAACCTTTCGACGAAATAGTTAAATACATATACATGCATGCTTTATAACATTTAACGGGTTTGAGATTTCATCTCCCAACTCTTAATAAATAAATACATAGATAAATAAATGAAATAAACATTTGTTAATGTAAAAATTTACTAAAAGTATGAAAACCATCAGTTTTCTGTAAACTCATACAAAATGCAATATTAAAAAAATATACTCACCTTTTTTTACTGTTACTTTTTTACTGTACTAAATAATCATTAAAATACATAATGGAGTATCATAAGCTTAGGCAGAACACAGAAGCTTAGGCAGAGTACATGGTAATGCCATCTATGCACGTTGCTGGTCATGTTTGCCATGCATTACTGTAACTAGAGGGCGGCGCATGTTTCATGTGAGACATAATAGTTATGGATTGTCGGAATCGAAAGAAGAAACTGATGATAACAGAGGAATAACGAAGTGATGACTGTATTACGGAACTGAATTACGGAAAGAAATGATTTTTAAACTCGATATAACATTAAAATTGATTTTTAAAGCAACGTAATTATGGAAGTTCATGAAATGTATCATGGCATTTCTGACACACAGGGTAATTTTTATCTTCATCTATCGTCATTTCAAGGGGTATTGTGATTTCAAGAATTTCTGTGATGGAATACTGAATTTACGACAGCAGAACCTTTTAAAAAAAAAAAAAAAAAAAAAAAAAAAAAAAAAAAACTCTCGATGAACAAGCCCAACATCAGATGGTTAGAATATTCGCACGATAGATGTACAACATTGCCGCAAATAACGTCGGATTTATTATTCATTAGAGCTTATATATATATATATATATACACCGTCAGGAGTACTTTTAAGAGTGTGTTCACATTGTGATGCACGCAACACAACTAGCATAACCACTACTTTATTGCTATGCAATTGAACAGCGTTGAACCTAAGCTTTCGAGAAGAGAAACGCTAAATGTAATGATAAAGGTTTGTTCCTATGAAGGATGTGGCGAGCAAATAACTTGTTGGTTCAATTTATGGTCGAAACAAAACATTCTAAAACATTTAACTGGAGCTCTTAAGGGGACAAGAAAGGCTGTTTTAAGATATTGTACATGTGCCGAAATAAACTCTGCCTTATAAATAAATTAAAAGACAGTTTATAGGCATCCAACCCACTAAATAAAAATAAAGACGTCGACACGCTTCAACAACTAGCTAACCAACTATCGTATGGCGGCAGAATATCCAGAGGTTCGCAAATGATCAGCAGCCAAAGTAAAGAACTGTATCCATTATGTACAAGATTTAATTTTACATGAAGCACATCTAAGCTGTAAGCGTATAAGAAAGAACTTCAGGATCTATATTATATGCACTACAACCTTAAAATTAGAGCCTTAAGTGAGATTACTGCATAGGTAAAAGTTACAGCATTTTAAAAATGAAATAACAAAACCTTTGCTGACAGGTTTTAAACTAAAGAAAGAAACTATAGGATATACAGAAGGAATATTCAATCAATGAAGCATAAAAAATGGGTACTATTATGCCTCTTGATTAATACTTAATTTAAACCGAACAGTAATTTAACACTATGCAAATGAGAAATGAAATGGAAGCTCTTCGTCACACCATCCTGAATATGCCAACACACTATCTGGCATTATTTATAAAATAGAGTAAGCAAATGAACAAAATGAAAAAGCTGCAAATATTTATAACTTTATGTTATGCGAATATCTGCATGTGCTCACATCAGTATCAGATGATGTTTTACTACATATTTATTACAGATAAATAGGAAATCTGAAGCATGAATATATCTGAATGCAAGCAACATATCTCAATCTATATTTCAAATATTAGGGAAAACACATATTTCTCATATTAAAAAATATACAAATTCACTGTGCAGTAGTTACTTATTTCAAATGGTAAGAAGGGAAATGTTTCATTCTCTGCTGTCACAAAGCAGAAATTATGTTTGCGTCGCAGTTGCTTATTCATGCAGAAATCATAAATTCAATATACAAACCTCTTTCGTACAAGCCTCATTTCCTTAACATATTGAGTGGTACAGTTACATGGATACCAGGAAAATGTCTTATCTTTTATTCAATAATCTGAAACTATGTGCTAAAAATAACTTTCAGTAAATAAGCTAACCTACGAAATTTCTATTTTAGGATAGAATATACATCCAAACAAATTCTTATTATTGTGAATAAATAACTTTTTTATATTTTATATATATTACAACAGAATTTTAACTCACATTTTAAATGAAGTCTCACACATTATAAAATATTCTTTTTTGATTTATGTATAAGTCATGTAGTAAGAACTTTAATAGAACTTTTCCATGCTTAGGAAGCAGTTTAGCAGCATGTCCTTGAAGTCATTCCAAGTAAGTCAATTCTAGTCACAGGCATATTTTAAGTTCAATTACTCTGATAATTCATATCATTTCAAAAGTTTCTCTAATGCATTAGTAAGTTCTCAGTAGAATAAGGTATCATGGAGTTATAAACATAAGATGTACAGCTTAAAGTGAATACCGTACCTAACATTTCCATACGAAAGACATGGATTATTGAAAATTTATTTTGGTATTCTTGTTTTACAACAGTGACATTTTAATGTTGTGTACAGTTCTGGATAAGTTAGATCATTGGTTTTAGCAGCATTATAACAGGTCATAAATTCTCAGAAATTAAATGAGGAGAAATCCCAACAAGATTATTAAATGCCTGAATAATCATTATAATAATCATAAGAAATGTGACAAATGAAATAAAAATCCCAAAGAATGCACTAATATCCATGATGGCATAATTTTGAACATTTTAGTTCATAATGACCATCAAGTAACCCCCCCAAAAAAAGCACACTTTACTATCTACTACATAACATACAAATTTAAAAGAATTACATTTACTGCATACTAGGAGCCAATAACTTTCTCCAACAAATGTGCCACCTTGAGATATATCTATCGCATTTTTATGCTTCTTAAATATATACAATTCATCTCTAACAAAAATGATATGTCACTCTATCTTATGTTGATGTATACCTGTTACAACACTTCCTGAAGCTGTGTCTTCACTATCTTCTCCACTTGGCTGAGTGCAAGTAGAGGATGAACCGGTAGAGGCATCGGAAATGCATGAAATAGAAGAAAATGGAGGCAAGGAACAATTTGAAGGACATGGCGATGGTGGCTTCATCCCAAGATTCAAATCAAGGCGAGGATCACTATGGGTTCGACTTAGTGTAGATACAGGTGCAATACTAGCTCTTCTTCTTGGATTATATCTTGGCATTTCCCGATATGGCACTGAAAATAAAATGAATTGTCAGATAATTATATGTGAAAGCTCAGTATAATTAACATGACTTCAGCCATAAAGTGTTGAAGCATGAAGTTCAATCCGATAAAATAAAATTTGCAATATGAAAGTAGTTCAACGAATTATAAAATCAGATTTATTATTGTGATAATGAATGCATTTTTCACTGTTATTAAGATACTTATAAAATAAAAACATAATATGATGAAATTATACAAGTAATTAAAAATGTACAAGTTTTAAAACAGTACAAAATTATTAGCTATAATATTTATGAAAACTTATACTGATGATCTAGTAATAATTTTTTATATAAAAAAATGTAAACAAAACTCTTCCTAATCTAATTTTATTTAGGCATAAATTTCAAGTAAGTAGAATAAAACAAATATGTTGGAGCTAACTTCACCTACCAACATCTTCAGGATTGTGGTTTCGGATAAGTTCACCTAGATTAAGATTGCCAGCTATAACAGCAACTTGATAAGGGTTTTGATTTGCAAAATTCAATGCATTTTTATCTGCACCTCTAAATAGAAGTACTCGTGCACAGCTTTCTTGATCATTTACAGCACAGACATGTAAGGGTGTATTTCCACTTGCATTACGGGCATTCATATCAGCGCCGTAAAAAAGTAAATGCTCAAGATGCTGAACCAATCCATGCTTACAGGCCTAAGGGTAAAAACATACATTCAGAGAGCTTCCACAACTACTGCTAAACACTAAAATACACACGTATTAGAATGTGAGTATAAATTAGTGGATAGAATACATAAAATATAAACACGTAGAAATAGACTGCTCATACTACTTGCAAAATTTCGCTTTATTTAAAACGGAAAAAAATTCAAATAGATGGCTTTAATGTGTAGAAATACCTGATGCACTTCTTGCCACCCTTGAGGATCGCAAGTTCCAATAAATGCATGGTCATGCAGAAGAAGTTCAGCAAGCTGATGGTCACTTGCATGTAGTAAAGTATAATATAAGGGTGTTAAACCTTTACTATCTTTATAATTTGGTGATGCACCAAGGTCAAGAAGTGTCTGTAATGGAAATGAACAAAAGCATGTTGAAACTTTGTAACAAATATTCAGAAAAATGAAAAGACAGCACATTTTATAAAATTACAAAACTTGGTCACTGAACATATTTTGTCATTCTAACACAAAAATAAAATAATGAATCTCTAGTCTGAAAATTATTTTTTACTTTATCTCTTTTAGACATTATAAAATTATACTTGCCAGCATTCTAATTGAGATCAAATAATATAATATGATTATATTTGTCTACCTATCTATCTATGCATACACATAATGTACACATGTGTGTAATAACTTATATATAGATCTATCTAGCTATCTCTGTATGTATGTGTAATAATTTAGATGTTGGTGATGGATATGTATGAAGATGTAGTAACAATCATGGCTTGACAAAAACAATGCTTGACATTACAATTGAAGAATGAGATGTAAGCGGTGATATGCTGACAAGAGAGAAAGCGGGAGCAAGAATGCCAAGTTTCCATTCTGAATTATAATTTCCATTCTGAATTATATTTCTGACTTATAATTTCATTCTAAGCGATTCCTAAAAGTATTGTCCCGCAGGTTTAGTTATTGGCTGAAGCGTTATGTAAGTACTGGCGTCATTAGCATATTGTAAGAATCATGTAAGAAAAATGACTTTTGAAATGGCGCAGTTTAGAAAGATTTACTATGAACAAGTTACAATTTTTAGAATGCAAACAGGAAATATCCATTAAATATGAAAGTAGCTACTGCAAATTTAAAGGATTTCGTTTTACATGCTTTTTATTTTATCTATACACAAGACTATATTTGATATGATATGTGGATATATTAAAAACTTAGTTATAAGGCATTTAAGTAAATTATGAACACAACTGTAAATGGTCGAATAGCTTGACGGAATTTTGAGAAGAAAAAAGGCTACACTCCTCTTCTTTAATCCTACTGTGAATGTTTTTCATAATCTATGATAGGATTTGAGAAAATTTTCTCAAATTATTTCATCCCAGATAAAAAAAGGAGAATGTTGAACACTCTCCCTTATGTTAAAATTTTTTAAAAAAATTTCTGTTGAACTCTAAAGTACATATTTAGTTTGTAAAACAATCGAGGAGCCACAAAAGTTATCAAGAAGAAAATGAAAGTATTTTCATCTCTTTTCGAAGTTAACTGCAACTTATAATTAAAAAAAAATTTTTAAATTACAGAAATCGAAACTAAACTCAGAAAAATTACTTCAAAAATAAGGCCCAGAACTCCAAGTGAAAAGGAAATTAAAATTAAAAATCTTAATGAAGAAAACTAGAAAAAGGAATTACGATTTCAGGTTTATCAAGCAGATTGCCCTTTTCCCTAAAGACTCTAGTTTTCTGTTTCACTTCTACAATTTTCCATATTTAATTACCACTTGATATTATCATGCGCTCGTTCTCCACGTCAAAAACCGATAATGACGTATGGTGTTACCGGTGTTTTCGGGGTATGATGCTTGATCTCACGTAACAATTTCATATGCTTCCTGAAAATAATAAAATCTAGGTTTCTGCAGTTAAGTGAGATATCCCTGTTGATAACACACTGATATTTCCTCCTTCCTGTATATTTGGTTTCGCAATAGAAACTGTGGGTGAGCTTAATTTTCATTCTCAAATTCATCCGTTCCGTTTTCAGATGTTTCACTATAAGGTATTTCTCCCGCCTTCTTAGCATGCCTTTCGTAGTGTAGTGGTCAGCAAGCTGGGCGCGTATTCCCAGAGGTCCGTGGTTCGTTTCCCGACGAGGGCGTTGCTCATTTTTCATCACTCCTGCTTTAAAAATAACCTAATGACTCTACATCACTACTACTATGCATTAAGTACTCCAAAAGAAAAAACTACACATCGAAACTAAAGGATATGAAAAGAAATAAACTTATTGGAAAGTAATAAAAAGCAACCTACGCAAAAGCAGTATTTTACATACAATTACCGTGTTTGCCAATTGGTTAATCTGAAAATATTGAATTTTAAGTCAAATTTATGGAAATTAAAAAATGATGGAGAAATAACCTCCCGAATCATATAATAAAACATTCTTTAATATAGCCTATGATCATTTTTGACAGAACTCCAAACCTCACACGTTGGTTTCACAGAATTTATCACACTTCAAAAATAAAAATTTTGTGAAATTTCATGCTACTCTTCTGAGTTTGGAGAGGCATTTGAGGAGCTACAATATACCAGACGTGAACTAGATTGAGCATCCCACACATATTCAATCTAGATTAAGTCTGCATAAGCTAGCCAATCCTTTCAAGTGGTATCTTCACACTATTCACATATCACAGTATTCAGTATTCTGCCACTAGAGATGATTGATGCGGACGAGCACTGTCATACATTAGAAACAACTCTGAGACACCAGCATTTTTAACAGCTTTATGTGGATAGTAAGACGTTGCCCAAATATCTCTGACCAGTTACAGAAACTTCATCAAAGATATACACCTCGGCGCGGCCATTTCTGATGATTCCTCTCAAACGAAGAAACCACTTCCATGGAAAACTGAGGGCAAATTGCGAATTCCTCGCTTCCTTCAGGTCAAAAGACATCTATAATCACAGTTCAGGCTACATCTGATCTCGTCAGCAAGTAGTGCACGATGCCATTCCTCTAGGTTTCACTGAATATAACGACGACACCATCTTTGGACGATGATCTCCATTAGTTTTCTCACGTAAAATCTAATCTCGTGAAGTTTTCTTGCAGCAGCAGAACGGCTCATTCTGTTTCATGTGGCAATCCGAAGGTCTAAAACAAATTGTCTTGTTAATTTTTTTTCAGCCAATAATAAATGAAAACAGTTTTAGGATGAAATTGTTGCTCTTGGTCGTCCTTGATCAGGCTGTCATCTAATTCACCTCTCCTTAAAAAGCGGTTCCAAGTTCTTAATATAATTATTTGAGAGATAATCAGATTTTGGGTGAGCTCCATTTGTGTCTGTACTCCAAAGAATAAACCAGTATTTTATCTCTTCATTTTATAACGTTGCGCGCCTCTAACTAGCACGCAACCAAGAGGTGACTGTGAAAGCTTGTATAAACCACAGAGTCTTATAAAGGGTTTAAGTACCTTTTTATTCAACGTACTAAATTACAATTGCGTCCTCTTGACGCTTACAAACTGTGCCCAACTAGGCAGTTAAAATAAAAAATAAAAACCTGAAAAGAAAGTAAAGACAATATTCTAACTACGAGGCTCTCTAAATAAACTAACTCACCGCGTTTTACAAATACCGCAGCTAATTCAGCAGACTTGAAGCTCACTGGAACAATTGCAACTACTTCCCGCCAAGCACATAGGCCGCAACGCGGGTTCTTTAATTCTCGATTTCTACCTCCGCGCTCGCGAAGTAAGAATAACTCTAACTGAACTTGTTTCCTTCTATTTAAATCATACTACTTCCGCTGATAATTGAATGCTTGCGCGTTCTACTCAAATTTACATATTCTGGGCATTGGCAGTTCCAGGGGAAAGTAAGGATTGACAGGAAAGATAGTTTAAACTTAAAATAAATGTTAGTTAAAAGTAATATAAACCCTACATTTGCCGCTGCCAGAATTTGGAAAACTTGGAAGCAGGTCCTACAAACGACCTGTTGTAAGTTTATCTAATTCTGAACTAACTGGCGAAAGCTCGTTTACACAAAAAAAATCTTATGTAACAATTAAAAATTCTGATAGTCGTTACAAAGCTTTCTTCTTACAGAAAACTTTTCTGGAATTCATCAATCAATATTGGTTCTTTCCTTCCCATCTGGAAGGAATAAGTATCAGTATTTTCTACATACATTATAATTACACTTTCTGAACACAATAAAATTTTTGTTTTTAACGTTTCGTTTTTCTTATTGCTTAATTCAATTTCATTCAATTTTTTCAAGCCATTAATTTAACTTTCCCCTGGCTCTCCACCATGTGTGGTGTCAAACGGGAATATTCGTGTTTTAGTCTTACAACACTTCCCTAACCACCATGATTTTAGATTCAACAACCAAATAGACACACCTTACGACATTCTACAAACTCAATGAGCTACTTTAATATTCTTAAAAATTCAAATGTAGGTGGAGAACCCTACAAAAAAACACATTCATTCTAACTTCCCCCTCATTCATCTTTAAACATGCCAGGCTTTCGCTCTAAAGCATGACTTTACAGTTTAATACTTAAATTTTGACTTCTGCTTTTAAGCACTCACTTTTAGCATCTACAATTTATGCTTCTAGACTAAATTCTACTTTTTACATAACATGCAAGTATTTACATACATTTACAAAAGTTTAATACATATGCTTTTACAATTTACCATAAAATGAATAAGAGAAAATAAATTTTTACTTTACTCATTCTCGCCAAGCTGGCGGCATTGAAACTAAAATTCTTATTAGTATAAGAATACGAAGTTATTTTATCTCCGGCCAAATTTTGGCTTTAACATAACAGAATTAGTCTTTCGACCAACAGAAATGCTTGTTTTTAGCTTTTACACTTAAAGAAAATAATACTTTTGCCTTAGCTAAATAAAGTAAAACAAAACTAAGTCTCAACCGAGACATATTGACTTTCGTCAAAACATAGAACTTCGTACTTATGCATAACATTTCGGAACAAAAGAGAAAAAAAATTATAGAAGGTTTTAAATTATCTTTGAGTTTTCGATGCTTGAAACTGGATGAAATCCGTCTCCGTTTTGACAAAATTGATCCCAATTAGAGGTGTCATGGATGTCAATCTTCTCCTTATTTGATCTCCGCGTGTCGTCCCCGTTGATCTTTCTTTTGCGTCCTCTACATGCTGGCCTCTTGACGGAGTAACGTCTGGTTGTTGTCCTTTGCGTTTCTGCCTGGGACGGCTGGTCTTGACGTCCTCCGGTCTGGAGTCCTTGAATTTCTTCTGTTCCTCGTACTTCTGTGCCTCCTGTTGGCGTTTCAGTTTTTCCGGACGGCGGCCTTGCTGGCACCTGACTCTGTGGCCGTGCGCGTCTCTCCTTGATGTGTAATTTCTCCTGCCATCTTTTGTAGGTGGTGGTTTCGTCTTTAACCACGGTTCTTTACCCGGTTCATCTGTATTTTTGTTTTTCTTAAAAAGCCGGAGTTTGAAAATCCTTTTTTCTTTTTGATACCGACGTCCGGGTTGTAGAAGTGCTAGGTCTCTCTTCAGTTCTCCGTTTCTTGGGTAGTGGAATAGTTGTTGCAGTCTCTGGCCCTTCTATTTCGTTTAGACTTGAGTCCTGCAAGAAAACTTAAGGATTTCAAAATCATTGGGATTATAGTATTTTTTCACCTGTCGGGACTTGCTTTACAGATTTCCCCCTCTCTCGTTTTTAAGATATAAGACTACTCCTTTGATTTCCTGAATTACATAGGGGCTTCAACTTTGGAGCTAGCTTTGCCATAAAATTGTCTGGGGCACTTGATAAAGAAAATTTCCGTTTCAATACTTATATCCCAACTTTAAAAATCTGCTTCACGGCGTTTTCTATCGTAATATAACTTTTGTATATTTTTCTTGCCGTATCCGAAGTTTTTAAAAGCGCCCTGCTGATCAATTAGTTTTTGCACGTCCTTTTGTCTAAAAATTCCTGCTCTCTTTGTTGCACAAAGAATAATTTATCTAAAGGCGTTAATTAAACTTTCTGCCTAAAAATAATTCTGCTGGAGTTTTTTTCCCGTAGTATCATGATGTGCCGTTCTAAAGCATAAGCTAATTCATTTATGTAGCCA